CAGGGGGGCCCCACAACTGGGCTCTGCAAGGGAGAGGTTTGGGTATATTGGCTGGAGGGGTACCATGGCTGGGCTCTGGGGGACGAAGGGGGCATCTGGGCAAGGGTGGGCCCTGCGGCTGGGCTCTGGGAGGAAGTATCTGGGCCAGGGGGGCCCCACAACTGGGCTCTGCAAGGGAGAGGTTTGGGTATATTGGCTGGAGGGGTACCATGGCTGGGCTCTGGGGGGGAGGAAAGGGGGCAGAGAAACAGGAACTGGGTTTTCATAGGGGTTTCTTTAACTCTCTACTCCTGGGGGAATTTTAGTGTGTGTCTGTATTGTTACAGACATACTTTCTGACAGGTATTTTGAAATAAATTACCAAAATAACTGACACTGGTGTGATTATGTAGTGTTGTTTTGACAAATAGAATTTGCAGAATTTTGAAATATTGCGTGAAGAATTTTCAATTTTTTGGCACAGAATGCCCCAGGAGAAAACACTATTTTCTTTTATCACTTTTGAATTTGACATTTTTTAATTTAATTGAACATCTTGTGCACGTTAGGAGACAGGGAGAACAGAAGCTCCAGATCTACTTTTTTTGTACTATTCATTATTTTATATAGTTGTATTATGCCCCTTCTTATTTGTTTTCTTTCTAAGGTAAACAATCCCAGCCTTTTCAATATCTCAACATGTAAGAAGGTTCTCATGTCCCTAACCATTTTCATTACCTATTTCTGAACCCTCTATAATTCTGAAATACCCATGTGAGATGGCATGAATAGTACTGCACAGTACTGTGGATGAAGCTGCACCACTGATTTCTACAATGGCATTATAATATTTTACGTATTATTCTCCATACTATTCTTTATATATTGTACCATCTTGTTTGCTCTTTTGACTGCATCTGCACATTGAGCAGAGATCTTCATTGAGATATCTACCATAACACTTAGATCTCTTTACTGAATTGATACTTTTACTGTTATGTAGTTTATTTTTAGTATTTTTACACACACACACACACACACACACACACACACGCACACACACACACACACTACTTAGTAA